CCTTATCCATGGTCTTCCATTGCCCCAGATAAGAAAATCTGACTTGGCAGGGTGGGTTGAGTCTCGACAGCACAGCGACATAGTTTCACCATTGCTCAGTTCATGCCAATCAACAGCCTGGAAGTCTGTGCAAGGGGCTGAAGACCCCTGATTCTCTCAGCTCAGGAGCAGTTTACATGGCACCATGCCTTAACTCAGTTCCTGCTTTCTTCCAATCCTATCCATTCCCTGGTCAAAAGAGATAGGCTGAGGACCCTGAAGTAGAAAGTTTTTTGCCTTTCTCTCCTCAAGCAACCACTCTCTACACCTCCTACCTACTGGGACTACAGGCAACAGTAATAGCGGGAGAAAGATAACTTGAGGATGCTCCCATTTTTACAAAAGAGAAGATGAGGGAATTGAGAAAACTATGATGATGCAGAGGATGGACAAGTACTTCACTTTTTTGAAACAACATTCTGCTTCCCAGAAATGAAATTAAAGGCCTGTGACATTTTAAGTATTCACATCAACACAACAGAACTCTTCAGGGCATAAAGCAAAAAAATGGTCTTGTAGCTAAAACATGGAGCCAGGAGATGTGTTCCATGGACACATTTCAGATATGATGTTATGATCCTGGCCCACCTTTGTAATGTTTGTGGGTCATACAGACAAAATGACTATACAGAATTAGTAGCATTGAAGCAACGCTGCAGCTGTTATGGTCTAGGAAATGAGTGCCAATGATTTTTGTGGGTGATATCTAGGGGCCTACCCAACTCAAAGAGGTTGCTGACCGCTTTCATGGGTTTATCATGGCACCCCCATGCCTCAGATTGGCCGAAGGGCCCCGCACACCATCACTGATTGATGAAAAGGGATGTCAATGATGCAGTTACACCCCTTTCCACTAATTGGCTGAGAGGGCTGCCATGCAGCTGTGCCCCTTGCTGCTGACTGGTGGAGAGGGGTGGGAGTGGCATGACAGGCCTTCGATACGGTATCCAACCCCACACTGGTGAACAAGTTAAGAGGCTGTGACTTGGATGATTACACAATCTGGTGGGTGGCAAATTGGCTAGAGGGTCGTACCCAGAGAGTGGTGGTGGACGGGTCGGTATCGACCTGGAAGGGTGTGGGCAGTGGGGTCCCGCAGGGCTCGGTCCTTGGACTGATACTCTTCAATGTCTTCATCAGTGACTTGGACGAGGGAGTGAAGTGTACTCTGTCCAAGTTTGCGGATGATACAAAAGTGTGGGGAGAAGTGGACACACCGGAGGGCAGGGAACAACTACAAGCAGGTCTGGACAAGTTGGACAAATGGGCAGAAAACAACAGAATGCAGTTTAACAAGGAGAAATGCAAAGTGCTGCACCTAGGGAGGAAAAATGTCCAGCATACCTACTGCCTAGGAAGTGACCTGCTCGGTAGCACAGAAGGGGAAAGGGATCTCGGAGTCCTAATGGACTCCAAGATGAACATGAGTCTGCAGCGTGACGAAGTCATCAGCACAGCTAACTGCACTTTATCATGCATCAGCAGATGCATGACGAACAGATCCAAGGAGGTGATACTTCCCCTCTATCGGGCGCTGGTCAGAC